GGGGGGGGAGGGAGGCTGAAGATAGTTTTGCCTAATCTGTTTTTTTTCTTTTTCTTTTCTTTTCGATCCACTCCGAGGTGAGAAGGACAGGTGGTGGTGGTTGTTTTAATATTTTATCTTTTTGGAGTTTTTCTTTTCTCTTTCGAGGGCGGGCTGGCTGTAACTGTACAAGGAGATGATGAGGCTGTGACGGTGTTTTTGGGATTGGGTAACTTGGAAAAGGGAATGAATGATCAACAGCAAAGAGGGGACTGTAATGATGTTTATGAATGGGGTCTGTTTGTTTACACTACAACGGTGTATGTTAGCATTGGCTTTTGGGCGGGTTAAGGGGTTGTTTGGTGTTGTATGGCTGAGGATTGGGGGTCGGTGTTGGTTGGTGTTGGTTGGTGTTGATATCATAATGATTATGACTGATTTTGTGGTTTTATGCATTTCTGGAACTGTTGTGGTGATTCCTGCCTCCGGACACCTGTCTCCAGGCCCTCTCTCTGGGGAGATGTCTCCCGTGTTCATGCCTCGAGGAACAGGAGCTTCCCACGGGGACAACAGCCAAACATGAAGTACACTTGCCATTTTCGTCCCGACATTCCATGATTCTTTCCGTCTTCATGCTCAACATGTTCCCCGCTCGGTCAAGGTATTTAACAATGGGCCGTCATCGTTTACAGAATCTCTTCCCTCAATCTTCCTATCCGCCGTGAACAGCGACCGCATTGCACCCATTCCCATTAACTGTCCCCATCTCTACGTGTATTGTCATATTTTCTTGTCAAGTCAACCCCATCCGTACAATTCCTTCGGCTTCGCTCGGTCAAGCTTTCTGTTGACAGAGCCCCTGAGGGTCTTTAGGATCCCCACAACGGTCAACTTCTTAGCCCCAAAAAGCCAGCTACGCCTGTTGAAAGAAACCGCATCGACCATATCCCTAACACCATTTAGTCCGTCGTCCAGGTCTCTCAGTGCTCTCCTGGCATGCCTGTCTGACCCCACTTGAAAGAACTGAATCCCCAGCTGGTGAGGAGGGGCATCGATTCGGTCTAACCGGCTGGCAAGGTTTCTGATGATTCCCTTAGGGTCGGGGCCCTCATTTGGACAGCCGTGGGTAACAACGATCAAGTTGAGTGGCTTGACCCCCGGGTCGCCGGAAGATGGCGAGGAGTTGTACAAGGCTTCTAGATGTTGAACATAAGGCTCGAGAATGTCACTGATGCGAGCGCCGGTAAGGAGTGCCGGACTGGGGCTGAATCTCGGTATTGAAAATCTCTAGGATTCGATTGCCATCCTTGATACCACGGTAGTCTTTGGGCCGACAATCCCAATGCTTTCTACGATCCCAACGCATTGCACTCAGAAAGTAAAGGTCTACACCACCGGAATCATAAGCTGTGCAGATCGGTGCGAGTTCCTTGAGGACATTGCGGACTTCTTTCCAGCGTGAGCCCATCATAGAACCGGAGTCGTCGATGAGAAAGGCCGTGTTGAAACATGCCAGGAAGGCATACGGGTCCTCGGTGCTGGAAGGCCCAACTTTCTCTTTGCCGTTGGGCTTTTCACTCTCGCGATGCTTCTCCTTGTTGTACCACTTCTCCCTGTCGTGGTGTTTCTCCCTCTCGCGGTGCTTATCCTACTCGTGGTGCGTCTCTCTACCGTACTCCTTCTCTCTGCCGTAGTACTGCTCCCCGCGCTTTCCCATACTGGCGGGCTCTCTCCTACCGTTGGGCTCCTCTCGTTTGCCGAAAATGTAGCGTTCGTGAACGAAACTTGGGCCTTGGCCTCCGTCGAGTAAGTTTCGGTCAAAATTTGTGCGAGTTTGTGTGGTTCGCACTGGTGCTTGACGTGGTCGAAGGGACACAATAAGCCTTGAAAATACCAGCAAATACCCATGGTATATACACCTGACCGCACAGCGGTCACATTTCCGAACGACGCACGACCCAACCGGCAAGGCTCCAAATCACTACACCATGGCCAGGCAGCTGACGGAAAATGGCCGAGCATGACCCTGACCGGTGGACAGGAAAGTTGCGATGAACCAGCAGGTGTCTCTGCTTCCCGAATCCGCCAGTTGTTACGTGTCGAACCCGTCAGTTGTCCTCCTGCCTTGCTGGTTTCGAGTTAGCTACCTCCCATTGGGATGAGAGAAGAGAAATGAGCCGGTCAACCCGTGGTACTTACGTGGAGCTTTCCAATTGCCACAACGGCGAACATGATCCGCTTGGAATCTTGCAAAAGACCACACGTCGACGGACTTTAAACCCCATAAAGGGCCCATCGAGGGTAGGAGTCCTGGCCTGCTTAAACTGCTCACCTGCTTCCATAAAACATGCTCATCCCCCTCCGTTGTAAAGCGGTGGTGAGGGTGTGGCTAGAAAAACTGTGCCTGTGGCTCGTTACCGTCAGTACGCCATCAGCAGAGCCTCGCTGCCATTCCAGTCCCGATGGCACGCTGACGAACCTTATTTTCACAACCATCTTCTCCATGCTACTCGTGGTCGAATACAACAATCAAGAAGCGACACTATCGCATTCGTCATGGGTTGCCGTTGCCGTTGAAGAGGAGACCATCACAAGACAGAAAATGTGGCGATGATGTCATTGGTTTTGTCAACCTTGACTGGAGACTCGAGAGCTGTTGGATCGAGCATGAAGGAGACACAATTCACAGAGAAATCAGAACCAAATTAAGAATATTTCGTAAATTCCCACCCATATCACTATCTATCTATTACATGGGTAGCCTCATTAAACCCTTCAGATGCATGCCATGCGTAAAATCACTGATGTCGACCCGTCGTGGGGGTATCATATCCGCAAATAAACGTCCCAAATCCTACAATATGTACAAGAGAATCAATGTCCAGCAAGCAAAAAAGAGCACCTGCCGAACCACCACCGTCCAACACCACACCAAATGAGAGAAGAAAAAAATCAGCCATCAAGACCCAGTGAGGACTGGGGCTCTTGTCTAACTACCCATGAGCTCCATTCGCAACCAAGCCGGCCACCAGTCATTAAGATTGGGATATCGTGTCTCGTATCTTCCTTTTTGGTCCTCCATGTCGTTGTCGATCAAAGAAAAAACGTCGTCGATGGTGCAACAACTTAGAGAAGAGCGGCAGCGATACCAGCGGCGGCAAGGAAGCCGAGGGCGGGAGGAGCAGTGACTTGAGCACCCCAGGCGCTGCTGGTGCTGGTGCTAGCATCGGAAGACTGAGTGGCCTCGTCAGCCTGGCTACTAAGAGCGCTGCTGAGGGCAGAGCCAGTGAGGCTGGTGGTGAGGGTGGTCTGGCCAACGGTGGAGGTGAAGGTAGTGGAGTCCTCGGTGACGGTGGTGAGCAGATCGGTGGTGAGGGTGGTCTCGGGAACCGAGGTAGCACCGGGAACATTAGAGATGCCCAGAATGGTAGTGGTGCCAGTGGCAGTAGCCTCGACGCCATCAGAGGTCAGGGTCGAAGTCCAAGTCTGGGTCGAGACGGGAGTGGGAGTGGCATCATCACTGGACTCGGTGGTAGTGGCACTCTCAGAGCCCTGGGTGGTGGTGGCGGAGGCATCAGCCGAGGTAGTAGGGACATTCGAGACAGTAGGGGGGATGGCGGTAGGGGCATTGACAGAGCTGCAATAGGCGACGCCGTAATCCTTGACAACTTGGGCAACAGCCGAGTTACCGCAAGCCTGGTCGGCGCAGTCGTTGATGCCCCAGCGGAAGTTGGCGGCTCCGCAGAGGCACGCAGCATCACCGGCAGCGCAGTTGGAGAACTCGCTACCAGCCTTGCCTTGCATGTTGCTGATACAGGTTTTCTGTACATGGTGGTTAGCGGCGTGACGACATCGAGTGCTGGGACAAAGGACACTTACACCGCATTCGGGGAAGCCCTCGGGCCACTGGTTCTGGGCCACAACGGAGGCAGCGCCGAAAGCAAGGACGAAAGTAGCGATGGACTTCATTTTGGCGATGTGGGTGGGGATGTGATCCTAGGAATACTGCAGACGAAGAAGAGTCAAGTCAGAATTGGGATTCCAAGTGAAGGTGAGAGAAGGGGGGTTAAGGTACTGACAATGTAGGATGATGCTTAAGGGGTGGTTGGCTAGGAGAGTCGCAAAAAAAGTCGATGCTCTGTAAGATTGTTGTTGTTGTTGAGGGAAAAGGACGAGGAGAGAGAAGAGAGGACGAAGAGTCGTGGTTTTGAAGGGCAGACCAGGACAGGTGGGACTTGTACGAGCTTGGAAGTTGGAAGCAGACGGAAGGTGAGTGGTGCGTCAGGCGGCAGGACTTATATTGTTGCAAGGCAGGAGCCCTCCAGGCCAGGTGCCCTTGCAGAGCAACCTGGAACCGTCCCGTCGGTCGTCCTCCGTCACTCGGGAAAGTACCCAAGCCCACACACCTCACCAGCCCTCAAATTTACCAGGGTTTGTCTTCTCCACGGCACTTGCTTAGTCTCTGGGATGGAACCACCAGCCATCGCCAATCTGTGTCATGACGGGATTGGGGCTCTTGCCTGCCACATCACGGCCCGATATGCAAGAGAAGGACGCATCCCACATGGCTACACACACCGCGGCCACCCTGCCCTCTCACGAACCAATCTGTTTGCCCCCATGATGCCTCGGGTGCCCGCTGGTGTTTCCTTCTCTCACTCTCTCTGATGTGAAGTTATTAGGAAGACTCCGCCGAATTATGCACAATCACCATAGTCTGGCATTAGTTCTTTTTTCATAACCACGATAGCCCAGAGTCGAGACCCTCCACGGGTCCCCCGTTGCTGAGGAACTTTGTTTTGGTTATCTCGCTTTTGTTTCCTTGAGATAGGAAAACCTTGAAGACGAGGTTCATCCAGATCGCGGTCGTGGCTGCACGTGTGGGCAGGCAAGGTCGCTGGCAGCTTCCTATTGGCCAATCAGGCGATGCAGTTGAGCTGGGAGCAGGGATGACCCCCTGTCCATCTGCATCCCCGACCCCAGAGCAGCTGGGAAAGAGCTGCGATAGCGTGGAGGGGATCGGGGCGGGAAGCTGGAAATCAAGGTGGAGGGTCGCAGCCAAGCACAGGGCAGCCAGCAGACAGACAGACGATGTCATCGACCTTGTTTATTATTATTATTTTTTGTTCCTCTTTTGTCTTTTATGCACTTGTTCCTGGATTTATGCATCGAATCTTTTATAGTGCCTGCCACTACCTTATGCCTCCCCTCCTCTCTCGCCTCTGTCACAAGCCTACTCCATCCCCATTTTTTGCAAGGTCGACCGACGGCCAACCCTCAGCAGTCTCTGTCATGATGTTGAGGAAAAAGTGAGGTTGGGCGGTGGACACACCGATCTCCTCTCCACCTCCACCCGACTCGTCGCTGGCCCGCGGCTCACCGATAGGCGAATGCCTTCACCCCTGTCTTTTTCTTTTCCTCTGGCCTGCCCAGCCTTGGCTTTCGACGTCAGCTTGCAGAGCCTGCATCACTCCCTCTCCCGATCTTTTCTTCCTCGCCGATGATTCGTAGCCCCCAATCAACCACCAAACAAAAACAAGCTTTGTTCTGTAATTGGGGGAGGTTCTGTTGTTTTCTTTTTCTCTCTTTTATCGCCAACCCCGCCATATTCTGTCATTGGTTGGCTGGAAGGTGAACAACCCAAGACGCCCAAAAAATCTTGGCAAGGGAACGATTCTTGGTGCACGTTCCATTCGTTTACCACTTTGACATCTTGTTTCACTCCTTTCCGTGGTCTTGGATGGGGTGGGAATGAGGTAATCAGGATTATCACCAGTTGCCGGTTTTCCGCAGCGTCATGATCAGGACAACAGGATGAAGGAGAGAGTAAAGGTTGGGAAAGGAAAGTCTCTCCCTCGCCCTCTCTCTCCCGGGCACCATTGTTGTCAACGCAGTGCCGAAAACTGAGACATGCATACTCCTCTCAGACCTGGTTGGGCGACACACACACGGCAGAGAGAGAAACAAGCTGGGGAAGAAAAGGGTTACGTCTCATCTCACAATCAGGCAAGAAGCTGAGGAACAGACAGACACACGTGGTAGGTTTGACATGTATACACTGTCCAACATCTCTTTTCATTTCCAACCTGGGACACATCGAACCACAAAGCGAGAGCCATTTTCATATTAAGGAGTGAGGTTTGCCCAACCAGTCAGTCCTCTTCCATGCTCCCATCTGTTCTAGACAAATTCTTTTGCATTTTGGATCACACCCACCCGCAGGTTGCAATTTCCCTTTCTTGCACAGATCTCGCCCGGGTGTGGTGTGCTGTACCTGAATGAGCAACGCCTATCTGTGCCTGAAGGAGATGAGATGATAGACTAGTAGCACAGACGGTAGCTAGTGTATGGATAAGGTGATGACCCTACTTTTGGACCTGCAGTCTTTTTTTTTCTTTCTGCACCTGCATGATAGCTAGGTACGCTAGTATAGTGTTAAAAGGTGGTTGGGGGGAGCCCGGCCTAGGGATCACGGCGTAGTCTCCTGTTGGTCACGGGCCTAGCCGCATCAAGTAGAAGATCCTACTAACATCGAAAAACGGTCAAAACACACCAAAATCAACCGCATTTTCGTGCAGAACCATCTGACGACTATCTCAAACCACCCCCAATCGCAGCAGTCAATCACCTACAACCACCCACAACCACCACTGCTTCCACCCGGCCCGGCCTGCGCAGTGGACAAAGGCTTCAAGACCAGTGGCCATTGAATTGGCTGTTGAATTGGCTGGTGGTTTGAACTGGGTGGTGTGGGTGGTGGTGCCGTCTGAGTTGCAGCCTCGCCCACGCAAAACCGCCTGCACACTTCAACACTTTCTTCAGCCGCAATGCATACGAAAGCATTGCTTACAGTAAATTACCAGGCTTTTGGCCTTCATTTTGCACCTATTTTGCTTCGATTTGACCAGGTTTTGGTCTTGCAATGTGTGTGGTTGTGTATGTGAGCTGCCAGCTGTGTTTTTTGATGTTTTTTGACCAAAATGCTAAAATAGGTTAGGCCGGTGACCAACAGGAGACTACGCCGTGATCCCTAGGCTGGGCTCGGTTGGGGGGGTATCCCCGATATGGAGTTAGCTTCACGATTATTTTGCACGATCATGGGGTGAATTTGGTTTTGATGCGCCGCTACTACTGCTGGCATGGAGTGCTGGCAGATTGATATAAGTGCTTCTTCTGGATGGAGACCGAGTGTGGCGGTCAGATACTAGAGAACGGTGAGGTTAGAAGGGAGATATCACGTTCTTGTCACCCGATTTTTGTCTTGGTGATGGGATCCGACTGAAAGGACGATTAGAACCCCGCGATGAACATTTGCGGGGTGTTGCTGCGGTGATGGTCTTTCCCTCTGTCACGATATATGTATGCATGCGCTGCAGTGTCGCAGCTTCTTCATCAGGTGAGCCAAAAGGTCAAACTCAGGTCAGGTCAGGTTAGACATTGACCAACTGTTGACCGACCCGGTAAGCTGCAACAACCACAGCATATCAATATGTGCAGCAGCAGCAATGCATATATTCATACCCACCATCATCCACCACCACCACCACCACCACCACCACCACCACCTTTTGGCTCCCTCATTCGTAATTTGCCCCTTCTGTACCACCACCACCACCGTTGAGACACAAATTTCATCCCAAGTGACCACAACTCCCAGAGTAATCTCCTCGTGTTTAGACCGTAGCACTAGTACAGAAGAGTGTCGGTCCTCCGGGCGGCTACAACCCTCACACACCCATTGTGTTCACAGAATTTGATTCATCCAGCCTGAAATGAGTGGCAAAGCGGAAGAGTCTGCCGACAATGGCACGAAGAAAAAGAGAGATATAATTGGACTGGTTGCTCAACCCGTCCAATAAGACAGATTCGATGAAATCTCCCAAGTTTTCTTAATCACCTACCCGTGAACAAAGTGTAACCCGGAACTCGGAAACCCAAATATGATGATGCGGATGTCAACGGCGCGTAAAAAGGGGCATTCGTCAATCATGAAGCAATGCAAGAAAAAGTGATGATGCAGCACCCACTATACATTTATCCAGGCATACTCCGTACTGCTATCAAAACCCCTCTCTCCTCTTGATTGTTCCCTCAGCGCTGTAAGTGTATGTGTAATATTTGTTGTGTTGTGCCTGGGTATAGATGGTGTGTGCAACGCTCCATTATCCCATGCAATAAATAAAGAAAAAAGCAAATAACAGGACGGGCGAAGCCAACCGCGCACACACACACACACACACACACACACACAACATCGCTTTTGCCCCGCACTCTTTACTATCCTTTGTGTAAACCAGGTACACAAAAAGACATGATACAAAAAAAAACCAAACCAGGGAAAAAAGCTCCCAAATATTACAATCCTTCATCCCTCATATGACCGGTCCATGTATGCCCCCAACCTCCCGTTTCTGTGCAATTCATCTACTCTATCCGTCGTCACACTGCATTCCCGCCATGCTTGCTTTGCTCTCGCTCATGTATACACACATAATCTCAACCTCGCTGAGAAGAAAAGAAAAGGAGAAAATGATTAACCGCTGCACATCACGCAGGCCTCGGGGTTTTCAATGCTGCCTGTAACGTCACGGTTAGCATCTGTTGTCAAGTTCGGAGATGACGGAGAGAATTCAACTTACAAGCAAGCACTGCCTCGGAATAAATGTCCACCTCACGCTCCTTGCTTTCGTCGTCATTGTCCTCCGCCTCCTTCTTGACCTCAGCAGCCGGAGCGTCGAGGGACTCCTCCTTGGGCTTCTCAGCCGGCTCGGTGGGGAGAGCCTTGGGGCTGTCACCTTCCGGAACGTCCGCCTTGAACGGAGGAGGCTTCGCTGGCGATGCCAGAGGACGTGACTTGACCTCACCAGCGGTGGGGGTCTTGATAGGAGGAGGGGTGGTGGGAGCGCCGTTGCTGAGACCACCGGGGGTATCCTTCACAAAGGCCATGGGCCGGGGGACCGCGCTGGGGGACGACATGTAGCTGCCGGGAGGAGCGCGCTTCTTAAGCCCGGATGATGTCTTGGCAACGGCACTATCCTGCACCAGGAGGGCCTCCTGATCGACGGTGAACTGGATGGGCTGCGCAGCAGCCTGGGTACGGAGGTAGTACATGCCAGTCTTGAGACCCAACTTCCAGCCAGTGAAGTGCATGCTGGTGATCTTGCCCATGGTGGGATCACGCATGTGGATGTTGAGCGACTGGGACTGATCGATGAAGGCGCCACGGTCGGCAGCCATCTGGACGATGGTACGCTGAGAGATTTCCCAGACGGTCTTGTACAGGGCCTTGATGTCGGCCGGGATGTTGGGAATGTTTTGGATGGAGCCACCCTCCGCAATGATGCGGTTCTTCATGTTGTCAGACCAGAGACCCATATCGACGAGGTCCTTTAGAAGCCAGGGGTTGACGACTTGGAACTCGCCGGCAAGCACACGGCGCTGGTAGATGTTGGAAGTATAGGGCTCGAAGCACTCGTTGTTGCCCAGAATCTGGGAGGTGGAGGCCGTCGGCATGGGGGCAACCAACAGCGAGTTGCGGACGCCGTTCTTCTTGATCTCGGCCTTGAGCTCATCCCAGTCCCAGAGGTCGCTGGGCTTCACATTCCACATGTCATACTGAAGGATGCCCTTGGAGACGGGAGAGCCCTCGTAGGTGGAGTAGGTGCCCTGCTCCTTGGCAAGCTGGCACGACATGGTCAAAGCAGCGTGGTAGATGGTCTCAAAGATCTGCTTGTTCAACTCGCGAGCCTCAGCTGACTCGAAAGGCATGCGCAGAGCGAGGAAAGCATCAGCAAGACCCTGAACGCCAAGACCAATGGGTCTGTGGCGCATGTTGCTGTTGTAAGCCTCCTTGACGGGGTAGTGGTTGACATCGATGATCTTGTTGAGGTTGCGGACGACGATCTGGGTGACCTCGTGGAGCTTCTTGAAGTCGAACTTGGCCTCGTTATAGTCAACAAACTGAGGAAGGGCGAGCGAGGCAAGATTGCAGACGGCAACCTCATCGGGAGCCGAGTACTCAACAATCTCAGTGCACAGGTTGGAGCTGCGAATCACACCAAGGTTCTGTTGGTTGCTCTTGCGATTGCAAGCGTCCTTGTACAGCATGAAGGGGTTGCCAGTCTCGGTTTGGGCCTCGAGGATGGCATACCACAACTTCTGGGCCTTGATCGTCTTGCGGCCACGGCCCTCCTTCTCGTACTTCTCATACAGAGCCTCAAACTCCTCGCCGTAGCAGTCGGCAAGGCCGGGACACTCGTTGGGGCACATGAGGGTCCACTCTCCGTTCTTTTCAACACGCTTCATGAACAGGTCAGGGATCCACAAGGCAAGGAAGAGATCGCGAGCGCGAATTTCCTCCTTACCGTGGTTCTTGCGGAGGTCGAGGAACTCAAACACATCGGCGTGCCAAGGCTCGAGGTAGATAGCGAAGGCGCCGGGGCGCTTGTTGCCACCTTGATCGACGTAGCGAGCGGTGTTGTTGAAGACGCGAAGCATGGGGACAATGCCGTTGGAGGTGCCGTTGGTGCCGGCAATGTACGAACCAGTGGCGCGAATGCGGTGGATGTTGAGACCAATACCGCCAGCCATCTTGGAGATCATAGCGCAAGTCTTGAGGGTATCGTAAATGCCGTCAATGCTGTCATCCTTCATGTCGACCAAGAAGCATGACGATAGTTGAGCCTGGGGGGTACCGGCATTGAAGAGAGTTGGCGAGGCGTGCGTGAAGAACTTGCTGGACATGTAGGTATAGGTCTCAATGACACGCTCAATGTCGTCTCCCCAGATGCCGACAGCCACACGCATGATCATGTGCTGTGGCCGCTCAACAATCTTGCCGTTGAGCTTGAGAAGGTATGATCGCTCCAGTGTCTTGAAGCCGAAGTATTGGTAGTTGAAGTCACGGTCGTAGACAATGGCCGAGTCAAGGTCGTCCTTGTGCCTCATGACGCACTCGTATGTCTCCTTGGCAATCATGGGCGAAGGGCGGCCATTCTTTGGGTTGACGTAGTGGTACAAATCGCTGACTACTGACGACCATTGCTTCTTGGTCTGCTTGTGAAGGTTGGAAACCGCGATACGGGCGGCGAGAATGGCATAGTCGGGGTGGGTGACGGTCATGTAAGCGGCAGTCTCGGCGGCCTGAGAAAAGAGTTGTTAGAGTCGAGTGTTAAGATAAAGGTCAAGGTGAGATTAGCTTACCAAATCGTCGAGCTGAGCTGTTGTGACGCCTCCGTACACACCGGAAATGACTTTCTGAGTGATGGCAACAGGATCAACATGGTCCATGTCAAGCCCATAGCAAAGCCTTGAAACACGGGCTGTGATCTTGTCGAACTGAACGCGCTCCTGGCGCCCATCTGCTTGAAATCAGCATCACCAATGGCTTCGTAGGAGTTCGAGGGTTGACATACCACGCTTCTTGACGTACATGGCGTCGGTTGTGTAGAGAACAAAGGCGGCCAAATTTGGTGGGTATAGAGAATGGCAAAAGTGAGGGTGCCGTATAGCTAGTCCCTCAATAAATCACAGCTGCTGGCAAAGATGCTTTGTCGAAAAAGAAAACAAAGCTGGTGCCAGACAGTCCTTAGAGTTATTCGTGGGTTTGGCGGTTGGGGGTGGAGGATGCAAAAAGAGAGAAGGGAAGGGCCTTTGCTGCTTTTGCGCGATCTTCTTTTAAGAGGAGAGGCGGGATGTGGATCGCGTCGGACGCGTTGGACACCAGAATTTTGGTGCCCGGCGCGTCGCTGTGCCCCGCTGCCCATTAAACAGACGCAGGGGCCATCCGATCTGCCCCACCATCGAGGTCTCGCTGCCTGGGGAGATCGGGATTTCAGGGCTCCCTGCATGTAGATTTCGGCAGGTGACAAGCCTCATTATCAATCTCAGTATCGGTATATCATTTTCCCTGTGTTTCCCTGCGTTGAACCTGTTTGTTCTTCTTGATGGCATTGAAGCCCAAAAACATTCAAACCCCAGTCTCATCGCTTGGCTTAAGTAAGCCACGTTTCCAAGGGTCCATCTCGTTTTAGGACTAGCCAGCGTGACCCCTGTCAACATTCAAACGGCCGCCAAGGCTCACTCAACCTCTTCTCACAGTGAGGACGACTTATGAGGACATGCCTGACTCTTGAGGACCAGCTCGGAGTCAAATCGATTCTCGAAATATAAGTCTTGGAGAGAGTATGACACTGAAGAGTTCTTCATCAACAGCACGGATATTCACAAGAGCTCTGCTCTCGAGCGGAGCAACAGCACATCACTTCTCAGCTGCACCTGCACTCAGATCGAAAATGGCCGAGTCCAACTCAACCCAGGCCAATGGTGCCTCTCTCACAACATACCAGCCGCGATACATCGATGTGGGTAGTTTATCATATAATCTCATCGACTAGCCACTAATAAACCATTTCCGCCTCATCAGATTGGCATCAACCTCGCTGATCCCATCTTCCGCGGCCGTTACCATGGCAAATCAAGACACCCCGATGACCTCCAGGGTGTCATCGACAGAGCCAAAGAAGTAGGCTGCACCAAGCTCCTCATAACCGGCTCCTCCTTCAAATCCTCCCGTGACGCCCTCAAAATAGCCTCCAAATTCCCGAACGTGGTCTTCACCACAGCCGGAATCCACCCCTGCTCCTCCTCCATCTTCTCCCCCTCCCACCACAAACACCACGACGAGTCCCAATCCGAGGACGAATCCGCCGACCAGCACACCCCCGCCTGCGGGCCCGACCCAACAAAACCCATCCTCGATGGCGAAGGCGTCGACCACGCCCGCTCAGAAGTCATCATCTCCGACCTCAAAGACCTGATCACTACCGCTCCGAAAAACAGCCTCATAGCCTTTGGCGAGTTCGGCCTCGACTACGACAGACTCCACTACTGCTCAAAGGAAGTACAACTCCACTCCTTCGCCGCCCAGCTCAGACTCGCGGCGTCGCTCTCCCCTCAGTTACCGCTCTTTCTCCACTCCCGCGCCGCACACGGGGACTTTGTTCGTCTGCTCAAAGATGCGTTTGGCCCTAGGCTTGAAAACCTGCAAAAGGGTGGTGTAGTCCACTCTTTTACTGGAACAATAGAAGAGGCAAAAGAGCTGATGGACCTGGGATTGTACATTGGCATCAACGGGTGCAGTTTCAAGACCGTCGAAAACTGCGAGGTGGTCAAGCAAATCGACCTGAGCAAAATGATGCTTGAGACGGATGGTCCGTGGTGTGAGGTTAGGCCTACGCATGAGGGGTGGAAGTATCTGGTTCAGTTTGAGGAAGCTAGAAGAAAGGAAGAGGAGGAGAAGAAGAGGCTAGAGGAGGAGGAGAGGCAAAAGCAGGAAAAGATCGAGGCAGAAAGAAAAGCGCAGGAGGAGCTGGAGAAGAAGGCTGCTGAGTTGGAGTTGAGGGGTGGTGTAGAGGGGGGCAAGGTTGGCAGGGAAGGGGAGAAGAAGAGACAGCGACAACCCAAGAAGCCTAAGCAGCAACAGCAGCCGCAGGGGAAGAAGAATCAGAAGAAGGAAAGCGAAGTGCCTGATCGGTTCAAGGTTGTCAAGAAGGAGAAGTGGGAGGAGGGGGCGATGGTCAAGGGGAGGAATGAGCCGTGCACCATTGAGCGGATTGCGAGGATTGTGGCTGGGATCAAGGGGGTGGGTGTGGAGGAGGTGTGTGAAGCTGCATGGGAGAACACTGCCAAGGTGTTTGGTCCTTTTTGAGTTGATTATGACAGCTACAAGCCGATAGAAAGCGTAGAAAGATTTCATTGTTTCTCCATAATTCCAGGGGTATTATTTTCTGTGCTGACACCCGCCGGCTACCATACACCCAAACTCCATACAAATGCTCACTCATAGTATACAACAGAATATTCAAAACACTACAGTCCAGAGCCCTTATGCCCTCTTATCCTGCCATTTCTCACAGCCCCTATGGTGACACCCTCCTCACCCGTCATCCACCCCGGCATCTTTTCCCCATCTATGACCCCGCATTCGACCAACTGTCGTATTCCCGCAAAGACATGGCTGCCATGAAACGTCAACCTCACATTCGGCCTGAATGCTTCCTCCCCGTCATCCTCCCCTTCAATATCCATCCTATCAGCATCATCACCCCCAATCTCGAAAGGATCCTCCATAACCAAATCCACCCTCTCCACCCCCTTCCCATCTCCTACCCGTGCCGTATCCCCAAACCGAGCTTGCGCGACCAGCTTGGCCCGTTTATTCACCCTCTCCTCCACCGTCGGTCTCTCCCTCCTCTTCTTATCACCATTCCCTTGTTCTTCCTCCTCTGCTGCATCGCTCAACGGTGGGCTAGGCAAAACAGTACTCAACGGGGACTCTTTGACCTTCTCATCCGCATAGATACTCCACCCACCACCTGCCGCATTGCCTCTCGTCGCGCCCCTTCGATCGAGCAACCCCTCCAGATTTCTTGTCGTCAAAGAAGTACTCTGCAGCGTGACCCTCTGCCTCGGCAGTGACAGCGCCTTTGGTATCCCCTCCACCAGCAGCGCCCTAAGCGATTTCGATTCTGACGCCCCTGTCGGGCCGGTAGAGGTGGGTTTAGAAATGAAAATATTTGGTGAGCCATCCGGGAAGGCGATGAGTATCGTCTTGGAGCCAGTGTCCATTTTGCCATTGGAGGATAGGGACAAAGGAGTGTTGTAGGGGGAGTCGATGACAAAGATCCTCAGTATCAGCAAGGGAAGCGTCTTGTGACGGTCGAGGTTGTAGTGTGCTTTGATATCAGGCAGGATTTGAGCCTGGAGCGATTTGAGAAACAACGAAGGGTGAAACCTTGGTATGGTTAGTGATGTTTTGTCGGCTTCCAGCGGCTGCACCTCGCCGTCGTCGTCCTCTGTTGGTGCTTTCAGCGGGACTATGTTATATGCTGACCATTTCTGGGAGGTTGGGTGGTCGTAGAGGTATTGCAGGTCTGCGATGGCGAGCTGGTAGAGCGATACCCCGTGCCGCCAGTCGCCTGTGGTGATTCTGTCTAGGACATCTCTTTTGGAGCCTTTACGATTCTGGAGGGAGAGGTACTCTTCCCGGAGCTCCTCCGGGGATGAGGCAGGGGGGTAGAAGTCGCCGTCATCTTCTTCTTCATCGTCATCCTGGTCTGGACGGAGGTAGGGGGTGGCTAGAGATAGGTTGTCCTCGTCTAGCCAGTCCAAGGCAACAGAGATGAGAGAAGCGCGTGAGAGCCGGCTAAGAATTTTGGTGACTGTTGTGCTGGAGGGGTTGACGCGTAGAGAGGAGGGCAGAGGCGCTGTGGTAGGGACTGATATTCGGGACATCTTCAGGCTTAGATTAAGAAACAAATGGAGCTCCGTGATAGCAAACAGAATGGGTTGCCGTAGCCGGGGTGTTCCGGAGAGGGTCCGTTCCGGCGAACGTCAACAATGGATCCGCTCGCACCGTGTTTCCGGCGAGCTTCGGGGGGTGCAGGCCGAGAAACCCGGAATTGATTTACAGAGCTGAGCTGGTCCAGAGCCCCCACGCCGTTTTGCAGAACGTGTTGGCAGTTGGAGCGCGTTCTCGCGTCACATGGTGGTCTGGACCGCAGTGTGTGGCCCGTGCTCTTATCTAGGTGAGCTTCACCCCGCAAAATCACAACAGCACAGCGCCCACGCACCCCGCACGCCTCAATATCTTGGCTTTTGACATGTCTCATCAGCGTTTTCCTCCTCTTTTGATGGTTCTAGATGAACGGTAGTACACAATGGATTCTGAAGAAGAAAACACCGACCAAAAGAACAGCTACCATTAAAAGATTTTAGACGATAGGAAGGGGCAAGCGTCTATATCGAGCCGCTGACGTTGCCGAGCCACGTATCGGGGTGCCGAGTATCGGAGCACGCGGAGACAGGTGGGAGCCAAGTGAGTGGGAACCCTCCTTCACGTGCGTTTTACCCTTCTTGGAATTCCGGATCGTTTCCCTCTGAAGTCTTCAGTTGTGAGCTTTTGTCAGCATCTGCTGAGATCCAGGGCTCGATTGCCGAGTGAGAGCGTGGCAAACTGTCCCCACCAGGCTGGACAACCGTTTAAAGATGAGCCCCGGCCTGCTCCGATTCTGCCCCTTCTCTTCAAGTGGAAATGGATGGAGATCAACAGGCATTGTGCTCTTGGCACGCTCATTGATGATGACTGATTAACCGTCGACTCAGGCACAGACAAAGAAAGGGCGGGGAAAACACGTTCCTGTACCTGTCGTGATAGGGTCAATGGCACAAAGAAAAGAAGGCCCTGAGACTGAAGAGACTGAAGGTTTCAGTAGGAGCGGAATTGCTAACGCAGGTTCGTGATGGAAATGCAAAAAATTGTCTGCAAGCGCGTGGTTCTTAGCAGTGATTGGAGTCCTGTCCGTCTGAAGAGAGGGGCACTCGGGCAATTTGGGTCTCGGCTACCGAGAGCGTGGGAGTCAATGTGCCTCTGACTAATAGCGACCATCGGACCGTGGGTATAGCGGGAAGCGCACCAGGGTTATCCCACCAAATCCATGTTGAGCGCTGTCTTCCGACTGTCTTCCCACTGGCCCGGGCGCCGATTTCTTGAACTGTTCTCATGTCCAGTCTCCATCACTCTTCCACTTCAGCAACACACTGGCTCCCAACTTGAGGCCATCATCGCTAGCAGAGGGCCCCGTCTCCCAGCTAGCTCTCACTGCCCTACATCCACCGACCCGTCTAGCTCTTTGTTTCAGCCAAAGACGCTGACTCGCCCGTACAACGCTCGCTTCCTTTTAGGAACTGAAGCCGAAGCGAGTGCCGATTTGTTCTCCGGCCACCAAAGGACGCCCCGCCTCATCACCTCCCCTCGACCGACCCTTTGTCTCCCGCCCACCGCCCACCTGCCGACATATTTGCAATTGTCTAAATCTCAAAGGAACGGATTTCACAATCACCAATTCCACTCGACGACCAAAGACTCTTAAACGCCCCTCAGGCAATCACCCCCGCGAGCGCGCGTGCTGGAGCTTTATTCGACGTTTGACAAGAGAGAGGAATTAAACATCGCCATGGCCTACTCCAGCGCGCGGAGAGGTGTCAATGTGACCCAATATCTCCGTGAATTGAACCAAGATGGCGGCGTGGTAGAGGAGACGCTCATCACGGATGAAGACCTCGCCAAGGACCTTGCGCTCTTTACCAACACTCAGTTCTTCGACTTTGAGACTGGCCAGAACACCGACTACCAGGCGCCACCTGTCAAGCCCGACACATTACAAACATCACCAACCGAGGAGTTGACGTCGGCCGACTCTATCATGGGTGACTTTGGCTTTTCTGATTTTTCCATCCCAGGTTAGTGTGGCTTTACTCCGTCAATTTTGGTTTTTTTCTTTCACTTTCATATGCTTCTTTGTTGGTTCAATCTTGATATTGGCAGGGGTTGGTCATGGTGCTGCGGTGTTTGGTGGTGGAGGACTTTGAGTTGTTTTGGCTGGTTGTTTCAGTTTCCTCCTGCCTTCTACAAGACCCCTTCAACAGCCAACCCGCTCAGCAAGTGCTGAATACATCACCTGGCTATGTCGCAACCGGAAAGCAGCGGGAAGATGGAAAAGGCTGCAGTCTCGGGGCGGTGACAGGGCCACAGAGAGCGGTTCGTCTTATCGCAGATCGAGCAAGTGCTTCGCACCCCACTCTCTCGCTCATGGCGAGTGTGCCCCCATGTTTTGCGGGCGGCTTGTGATTGGAAGGCTGCACCATGGGCCGGCTTCGAGGTGCATGCGGTTGGGAAACACGAAGTCCCTGGGCGATGCTTGGGCCTGCCTATATGGGGCTGACAAATGATCGTCGATGCTCGCGATGATGCCATTTCTCGTGACTTTTGGGGGATTGCACCATCGACACTGGGGCATCAGTGGCCCGTTTGGGACCGCTCCGCCGTTTGGCTCAATATCCCTGGATCTCCGCCCTCCCCGTCGGCGGCGCTGTCCGTCACTCTAGTCTGTTCTTTTGTCTTGTACTTGTGCAATTGGCTACGTCTTGTATCGATATTGTTGTTCACTCGCTGACCATGGCACCATGTCTCCAGGCGACTACAGCTTCGGTGATTTTGGCAGCAACTACACCTCGCCCACGGTCCCGGCCTTCCCAGACAACCTAGGCAACCTGCAGCCCATCCAGCCCACCCCCCAATCCTCCTATGCCCCGCCAGTCCCCCAGCAGCACCAGCCAGGGTATGTTCACACTGTAGCAGCTCCCGTTATCGGGGGCGAGAAGCGCAAGGCCACTGAACAGCTTAGTCCCCCGAACCGCATCCTGAGCTTCGAAGACGCGTCGCGCATGGCCGCTGAGGAGGACAAAAGGAGACGCAACACGGCCGCCAGCGCACGCTTCCGCATCAAGAAGAAGCAGAGGGAGCAGGCCCTCGAAAAGTCGGCCAAGGAGATGACGGAGAAGGTTACCATGCTGGAAGGACGCATCTCTGCCCTCGAGACGGAGAACAAGTGGCTCAAGTCGCTCGTGACGGAGAAACACGGCGACAAGCAGGACATTCTCGAGAAGTTCTTCAAGGAGTTTGCGGCCAGGGAAGCCAAGAAAGGATCGTCGTCTTCGGGTATCAAGGACAGCATCAGCGCTGCCAGCTCCACCACCGCCGTTGACGACTCGGACAAGTCGCCCGCCAAGAGGAAGGATTGAGGTATTCTTTGGTGACAAAGATATCATAATCTGGTTTTCTTATCTGGGCTCTTCCGGTTTCGAGTCATTTCATCAGCGAGGGGTTTAACGGTGGGGGATTGGAGAGGCCCTTTTTGCTGCGGATATACCATATCATCATCATCATCATTCAAATCATCGAAGGCGTTTCATCTCGAATTATTCGGTCTTTTCTTGTTTTTGTTTCTTGTTTTGGTCTTGTCTGATTTTACGACTTGCTTTTTTCTTTATACCTGGTCCATTTACCTTGGGTTTCCGGTGTTCTGGAGCTTTAAGGGAAAGCGGGAAGGGAATAAGGTAATCATTTGGGGGGTGGGGAGGAGTAGGGAGTGGGTGGGATTTCAGCTGAAAGGCTGGAGGGAAAAGAACGGAGGGGTGATTTTGTTTAGTACTGTTTGCTTTTGGTGTTTTTACGAAGCTTGCAAGCTACAGATCTCATCATCATCACTTTGTACCACAAGGCAGTTACAGAACACTGGTGGTCGTATGATGTCTTGTATTTCACATGGATACAAGAGTTATATGAATATTTTTACGAAGTTGATGAATGGGATGGTCGGGTAGCGCATATGTAGCGACAAGAGGAATATAAATATACAAAAGTCATAACAAAATATCATGATCACATTGATTGTTGAACACTATTCTACTACTCTTTCTTTTCTGCTGTATTGTTTTCATCAACACCACGTAGAGTGGCCAAACGCAACTGGTTCCTCTTTCCCAGGACCCGAAGCGTGCTTTCCCTCTCGAACGAGGACATCTCCTGCCAGTTGGCGATGCGGGCCAGGGTGCCGTCCCTGTTGACGACCATTGGTCCGAGGGCGTCGAGGGAGATGGGGGCCCCGTTTACGACGACGGTGGTTGTTTTGCCTGGGGTTTCGGTCTCCTCGGTGCCGGGGGCGGGGAGGGCGGGAAGTGGTTGTTGTTTTGGGATTGCGACATTTGCGGTGGGGTCATCCTCCTGATGGGTAGTGGTTGCTGTTGTTGTTGTTGTTGTTGTTGATGATGGGGTTTCTTCTTGTTCTTCCACATGAGCGGGTCTAACGGCTGCTGCTGCGGGTGTGGCAGCAGATGCGGCTGTTGTTGTTGAAGGTTGATGGGATGATGGTGAGCGCCCGGGGTTGGGTGGCGTGCTTGTTGCGGATGGGGCGGGGCTAGTGGTGGTGTCGCTGGACATTGTTCTGCGGTGGTGGTGGTGGTGCAGTAGGTGGTTGTGATGGTGGGGTAGCTGAGTTGAGGCCGATGGTGAAGAAGATGGCAAGAGTGTCCGATGGGAATGTGCTCTTCTGGCTAGTAGTAGTTGGGCGAAGAGTTGGGGGCGGAGACGCATCAGTGGGTTGGGGTGGGTGGGCAGCTCACTTTCTTCTCGGATAGGTGAGAAGGGGAGTGAGAATGAGGAGGGTTGTGAGAAGGGAAGAATGATGTGATGATTGTGATCGATCTGACAGGATGTTCCCGTTGCAGATGTGTTGCTTGGTTCTCTTTTGATGCTTGGGGCGTTTTAAGGTTTGGGAATGGCTTCGGATGATTTACCGTACAGGTGAGGCTTGTCGATGGAGATATTCTTGTATGTGCTGGTGTTTTCACTGAATCATGATGCTTGATGGAGACTGGAAACGTCTAGAACAGTCCCCAATTTTACCTACGGTGTAGCTGAGGTGAGGCTAGCTGTTCACCTTGGATGTGGTCTGTGCACTATCTCTAAATGTTGCCAAGAAAGACCCTTTGAACCCGTGAGTCTGACAGAAATGGCGACATCAACGGTGTTGATTGATTTTTCCAGAAAGCCCATTTAAAACTTTCACGATATATCCTGATGGCGGTATTGACAGGTGTGTGACCCGCAGCTAAGGCAGGTTACACTGCTAATTTGGAGCGATATGCGTGGTTGTCTCTGCTGCTGGTTGTCATCGGTGGTGCTCATGGTTCGCACAGGGACCCGATCACGCAATATGCTAGCTGGATGACTCCAGGCCTTCTTTTAATGGGCCTGGATTCTTTGCTCCTTCCCGCTTCCGACGGTAACCAGGTGTCTCTGGAAATCCAGTGGGCATCGTCGCTTCCCGAAATGCACTTCCCACTCTGACAGGCTCCTTCCTGAAAGTCTTGACCGGTTAAGTGACCGCTGAAACCTTCCTCTTTCTTTCATCTTCTTCTTGATTGATCGAGACGAGACTTCGCTGGCGGCTTGCGACGCGTGATCGAGAACGTGGTGTGGCAGCCTCGCAGCAAGAATCAACCCCGACATGACTTCCCCACGGCTCTGAACCAACCACAGCAGCATGTTGGGCAACAAGATCAGGGTCCAGCTTCGCTATGGGGTAAAAGAAAACAGGAAGAGAGCGGGACAAGCACCCGGCCTCCCTCACTCTCCCCTTGGCCAGACCACCGGCGAGTCCTGTGGCTAGGAAAAGTCTGCAGAAGCACTTCAGCTTGCCTGCAGACGGAGGATCAACGTGGGGGTAAGCGACCATTCTTTCGTCTTGTTACACATGTCCAGCCTTTCGAGTTGGATGTACCAGTCTCTCGAAGGTATCCCGTGTCAGACGGGAACATGCCATTGCAGAGTGCAGTGATCTGCTCCGCGGAACTGCTCACGGCATCCCCCACGCACGCTTTGCTGACCTGTGCTGATCACAGGGGGTGATAGTCTAACTCGTGGTGTTGGACACCTGGAGTAACAAGCCTCGGCTCTTCACTTTGACCCACGGGACGTTAGGCGTCTGGCCAGTCACTCACCTTGTGTCTTTGATCTTGTTGGCGAGAATCTCGAAGAAAAGCCATCGCCGTTTACAGTACCCTATTCAAGAAAACTACAGAGACGGTATACTTCCCCTCAAGGTTTCAGGCTCAACTCAAACAAACGTCTTCCCACCAACACGACTACGCGAACCGATCCTAGCACACCGAGCCGACCCTCCGTATTCAGTTTGCCACGTTCAGCCCACACATACATATCCTTCGACCGGTTTGAAGCCCCCACGAGACAATTTACAGTCACTATTGAACACGTTCGGCATGATGCGAGTTCAATATGCCCGAATGCCCCTCAGTCTGACCCGTTGCTTGGTTCTTGTCTGTTGGGGACCGACACGGAATGTAACGGCTCCTTCACGCGGCCCCATCGGTCGCAACGTTCCGATGATATATTAGCAGATGTCGACAAGTCTGCACGAGTTTCGTCATTCGAAATATCCGACGGCAAGGCGCTCAGAAAGGGATAATCCAGTGACTATACCCGATGGTATCGGCGGCTGCTCTTGATATTCAAGGGTTGACATCCACCAGTTTTAGCTTCACACAAGTCTGGTTGAGTAACGCCACTTTCATCACCACACTCAACACGAACCAAGACCGAACACAAGAACAGCCCACACTATTTGATTTGAATTCCGGGCGCCCACATTCGTGGCGTGCGTAGTATAGCGGTATTACATTCTGCTCTTCGAGCGAAGGACTTAGGTTCGATTCCTAACCACTCACCACACAGCGCATTTGGCTTTCAGCGTTTGCTTTTGTGATTTTTCTATATTATCTTTTTTATATCCCCCCAGAAGGTCTTTGCTTTTGAGATTCAACTCATTACCCCCCCCAAAAAACAAGCCCTCTTCTTACTTACAATTGTGTCTTCAATTCAGCAATACCTAAGTATTCCACAGGCATCTCGCGAAGCTTTCAGACCAGATTTTATGCATATGATCATTGCGGCCAATCGTATCATGCCGCGCGCGAGTTCGCTCATGGTTTCAACAAGTCTCACGAACCAGCAGCAGCACCAATAGCGAAGCAGAGAGTGGTAAAGTGTATTGCACAAAGACTCAGTTTCATCGAATGCTCGAGATTAAACACAGAACATACATCATCTCTCTTGCTTTTACAAAGCAGCCCCAATTACAGCGGTGATCAACAAAGCCCCAGTCATAATCCACCAGTTGGCGGCATCTCGGCCAGCAGAATTTCCTCCATCACCACCACCTCCATTACCACCTTCGTTTCCTTCTTCATTGTCATTTCCTCCATCACCGCCATCACCACCATCGCCACCATTACCGCCATCATTACCGTCCTCGTCATCATCAACTTCCCTTTGCGAGGTGTTGACTCTCATGCACAGGAGTCTCTTCGGGGCATCAGTGGGAAAGCCGCCGTTGAGAGACCTTACCAACTGCACCGGTGCGTTGACAAGCATCATGTGGATGGCATTGTGATAGTTCTCGTATATGGTCTTGTTGTCGAGATCAGAGTACTCGTCGCTCTGCAGGGAGAAAAACATTGACCCGGATCTTGCCTTGCTGAGATCCACAAACGTTCGACCAGGTAGCAGTCTTGAATCGGCCATGTACCCGAGAGATGAAGCACACTCTGGTGCATCTGTCCAGGTCCCACCAGGGTTCTGGCAAGGTCCACCGTTGTTCAAGCCTGTGCTTCTGATGATGGAGTTGACACAGTCCGGGCCTAAAATCGGAACACAGGAAGTGTCATCCGTATCTTCGTCAGTCCAGAGGTTGGTGATGTTGGCTGGCCAGCTGCGGTCTGTCAGCAGGAACTGAACGGTGCAGAATGAATTGTTTCCCAGTTCGGGAAGGGCTTCCGCAAGAGTGCTGTTTCGAGGAGCACCTCCCCATGTCAAGTCGTACGAGGTGCGGACGGTGAAGTCATCGGACCTGTTGTTGAATGGGTCGGTCAGGCTGTCACTTATGTTGACCCCTGTTACGAGCAACGCTTGTTAGTATACCACTTTTATGTTGGAGGTAAACCTACGCCATGTCCATTCGAGATCAGCAAGCGGAAGGACATCGGGGTACGGGTTGAAGGTGATGTTTCGAGTCGCGTTTGGGTTTTGGAGAGCCTGTTCTGCGATCTCAAGACGGGTTTGGGCAGATGCAAGCGTCAGGAGACTGGCGGCGGCTAGTGCCGTTGCTTTGGAGAAAGAATGCATCTTCACTGCGGCGTCTCTTGATTTGAGGTGCATGTTGATAAGCTACCCTGGGATGGACCCAGCTGGATGCTGGGCTCTTTTATCCTCAACAGAGCCTCAGTCAAACTTCGACAAAGGCACACAGGGCTCTCAGTCGTCAGCCAAGTCGATATTCAGGCAGTGCGAGCGGCAATGCATCCTTCGACCAAAGGTTTGACAAGCTTGTTACAAACAGAGTGGCAGGGTTCACCGTCTGTGGAGGTCACAGTTGAGGGAAAAGTGCAACCTTCTCTTTAGGGTCATTGCCTACTGTCGAACCATTCGGTTTGTGTTCTTTTTCTGATCGAGTAACACGGCGAATGTTGGTGTGGTTGAAAGGGAGCAGTGATGATGGCCTAGGAATCCTTCTGCTCGAAACGACGTCAGCCAAGCCAAGATTTTCAACGGCTTTGACCTTTATGTATATTGCTGGGAACCAAAGCACCAACAGACAATGCAGACCCAAACATTCTCAACCTCGAGCACTGCCGACCACCCGGGCCTGGCAAGCATCACTGAGACAGACGTGAGTGTTATGTCCGAGTTGGGCCGTTGCGACGTTGTAGCTGTGTAACCGGGAAGCCAAGGTTTGAGATCCGAGTGGACGAATCAGCTAGGGAACCCGACTCTGGATGTAAGACAAGAGGCGATGTCTATGACGGTGTGTTGCCGTATGTTTTTGCGGCGTGGGTATAGGGTTGCTGGTATCTCGGTGAGCCACGAGTAACGAACATATCGCATCGACGATCGAGGTTCATCAGCTGCCAAAAGGGGAGGTGGCCTCTCTGAATTCAGGTGCCTGTTCGCTAGCTTTACTCGGAGGTTTTATACGCGTGAACGGGACGGGCGGGAAGGGTGCATAAGGCTGAGGGAGAAAGCTGGTGAAAATATGGGGAGGGATAGGGGAGTTTGTGCTGATGGGTCGGGTTGAATGTTTCTGTGTTTGCTGATGGAGTTATTCAGGCCAGCTCAGAGATACCTTACTTTCTTTCCACTTGAACTCATTTCAACACTCCCGCGATAGGTAAATTTTCAGGACAATATTTCAATCTCATTTACACAACACTTCTTCCAGACCCGTCACGTTAAATTCAACCCCCCAATATTCAAAACAGTGACATTCCAATCCCAACCCCCCTACACCAACCCACACATCTCCTCCTCCCAATTCCCTCCTCTACCCCTCCGTAAAAACAATCACAGCCCCAACCTTCTGCACATTAGGAACATTGATGCAGATCCCGCTGTTCCCCTCCCCAAGCTCAATCTGCTCAGAGCAGTCCTGCGTTCCAAAAAGTCTCCACTTGAACGTGCGGGGGTCGTCTTCCGGGAAGAGAAACCGGACGGCGGCGTTGTCGGGGGGTGCCTCGTCCCAGAGGGAGTTGACGTTGACGCAGGCGGCAAGGGTGGTTTCCCCTCCGGAGAGTGACTGCCCGTTGCCGTTGCCGCAGCCGTCGGGCCACCACTCGATCAGGTAGAGGGAGTTGGGGGGGATTTCGGTTGCTTGACGGGTCGTGAGGGAGTGCCAGCTGGGGTTGGGGCTTGCTGGAGGGGAGAAGGAAGGGGTGGCGTGGGTGAGGGGGAGGAGGGCGGGGAGGAGGGTGGTGGGTTTCATTTTTGTTGTTTGTTGAAGTTATGATGACTGTAGGTGAAGGGGATAGATGGTCTGGAGGGAGTATAATGACAAGGTCCGAATCTTTGATGAGGGAGAGAGGCGGTCGATAGTCTTATAGTTCCGTTTCGGCCATCTCTCTTTGATTGTTGAGACCCAGAGTCTAGGTATCACACCAAGGCTTTCCGGCCATGATTTCCCCCCCTTCCCAATCACAACTCCCAACCCGGTCACAAGCCTCGTCCGCAACTTCACAACATCTACAGTCAAATTTCTCGGTGATACTTCCCTCTACCTCGTCAATCAAACCTCTACATCAACAACTGACGTCACTCTACCTTCTTCACCCCCTTCTTCACCTCCCTCCCACCTCCCCGCAAAAAAAGATCTTGTGTCCTCCAAAAACAACCCACTGTACCCCTGACAATGAACCCAAAGGAGCCTCCCCGAGTGTGGGGTTGAATCCTCCTACCGACGATTCCTCTCTTTATTGCTGGGAAAATCAAGTTTTGATCGTCTTGGTATTCAAAGCTTTTACACTTCTGAAAAAACCCGCTGGCTGGTTCTAGTAAAGCGCCTGCATATCCGCCACGAGTGGCGAGAAGGGTTACAACAGAAGTAAGGCTGTAGCTGGACTGCGCCGCTGAGGCAAAACAGCTTCTCCGGAAAGAACGGCACTACGGCACGTTTGCCTGTTGGTTGACCGTCGCCGTTGCACCGGCGCATGGAGGCTCAACGGCTGTTGGTTCACTGTTGCAGAAAAACTAATGCGTGGGCTGAATGACTACCAGGGTGCCCGAACCTGGAAAGATTCAGTTGGCAAACCTGCAGCGGTGAATCTTTCCGATGATCGATCGGAGAATTTGCTAGGCGAGTGTCAGTTAGGCGTAACCAGTCTTGTGGGTGGCAGGTTATGGGGAGGTGATAGTCATTGATTGACATCTGGGGGATTTGCTGAGCAGGAGGAGGATGGTTGTTGGGACCAATAGTAAGGAGTAAGTGTTGGGATCTACAGTGTTGATTTTTCAGCTGGTAAATCCGCCAGCCTAAGTTGAAGCCTTGGACAAACTTCTTCCCTTTGACTCTAAGTTGACCGTTCCTGCATCTGGTTATGCCTAGCATAGGGAATATGGGCTGATATGTCGAAAAAAACCGGTTCAGCATGCCATCAGACTTGCTGTTGAGTCCCAACAAGCTCTATTGGTAAAGAGAACAACTCTTGGCTCTCGTATACCAAGCCTTATACGCCGCAGCTTCAGCCGCCAACACCATATCTGCCTGCAGGATGGGCAAAAGAGGGCGTGGACACACTGTAGCCTCGACGATTCAAGGGCAACTGACCTTGCATCGCCGATCTGTAGAGCCTCAAAAGTTGAGGATCAACAAGTTCATTCCCTAGAATGAACCCATACTCTTGTGCGTCCTCCTCCATTGAGCCACGATGTCTCAAGAACCGACAATGTCTTCGTCCGAGACGGACATGCTAGGATACTCGAAGATACTTGTCGGTCACAACAATGACTTGCCAGGAACTTTGTGATGTCATCAGCATCAAAAGATTGGAGTTTTCGGCATCAAATCCGCGTCACCCGAAGATGATAGTCGAGGAAAACATCAAAGTGTAAGAAGAGGAGATGGACAAAAGGAGAGAGCAGCTCGCCGTAAAGCTGGTATAAAGATCAAGAGATCTTCACTTTCACCAGGACCATTTCCATCTCTAGACCATCACACTTCCATCCATCTTAAGCCTTCTGAACATTCAGAGCCCCTATCCCACCATGAAGAACGCCGTCCTTCTCTCCGCCGCCTTGGGCGTTGCCTCGGCACAGGTTATCAACTGGTGCAAAGACGAGGATTGCTCCGACTGCCCATCCTCAGTCATTTCGGGAGAGTCGCGTGGTAAGTTGTGCTTCTCATGTCCTTCCCTCTGAAGACCGGAAAGCTGACCTCCTGAATGCAGTCCCAGAATGTGTCATCTATGACACCGATGTCGTCTTTGGAGGTCAAGGCTTCAACGAAGGCTCAGGCGGCAACCTTCTTTACGAGGTCTTTGGCAACTATGCCGACGCTCCTTGTGGTGATGACGGCCCCGGCGCAATTCTCATCCGCTCTCCTGCCTCCCTAGCCAGCGTCGGCTGCGGCAATCTCAAGAAATGGCGCAATGATCCCGGCTGTGACCGCGCTCCCATTGAGATGGAGGAGACCTTCATGGTCCAGTACTGCTGCGGCTTCGACGAGTGCAACCCTCTCGGAATCCCCTATGACAAGAAGAGGAACATCATGATTGGCGGCCACACCCGGCGCGATTCTTCACTCCCCTTCGGGATCTCTGCTCGAAGCTCGGGTAGCGGTGGGCTGTACTTGCAGTTCAAAAACGGCACCATCATCCCTCCCAAGGAGGTCGGATACCCCCCCGAATCCCTTGCTGCCCGGGCCAAGAAGATGAACCGCCGCTGCGAAGGGTATGAGCAAGACTCCTATACCGCGAGTGGACAGCCTTACTACAAGACTTTTGAGACGGAACTTGTTGGTAGCACCATCGCCCCCTCGAGCGAAGACCGGACCATTGAGGTGAGGCATTCTCGCTCAGTTGAAGTCCGCACGACTTTCTCTGTGTCTGTTGGTGACCCGCTTGGAATTGTGTCGGCTTCGGTCGGGTTCGAGTTCGCCACGACTGAGACGCAGGAGATCACTTACCCGCTGTTGGTTCCTGCTGGAGTGAGCGGGACGGCTGGCTTCACGCCAGTGTACATTTGCACCAGCGGAACTTTGAGAGATTGTGATGGCAACACTACGAACGAGGAAGAGAGTTGCACGGCTTGGTTAAATGACAACGGAGATATTCAGGGGGATTGGCAGGTTGTGGAGTCTTGAGCATAGATGTGAGAGAAGAATAGTTCCGAAAGCTGAATCGTAAAGAGTTTGTAAACCTTGTCCTTTGATGTTTGTGTATGTTGGAGAGAAGCTGGGCTTGGGTCATGAAGAGCATGTCAAAATCTTGGCAGGGAGCAGCAACCATGTGGCCCGTGCTGATGCTTGGTTTGGACCCCGCTTGATCGACCCACTCCCAGCCTTGATGGTGGGGTTGATGAGAGCTTCGACGTTGATGATCCACACTTTTGACTTTGTGTTCCTCCACGTCAACTCTTGGTCAGCTGTTTCTCTACAAGCCCGGGAGAATCACAGACATTTCGATGACTGAGCGTTGTAAGTTGTGCTCACTGAAACATTCTAGAATTCCATAATAATTAATTCATACTCGGACCCCGTAACTCTCTTGATCGACGTTTGTGAAATGCCTCTCTTACTGGCTCTCCGGTGTCACAACATGATCGACAGCTTATACAACGATAGGAACAATAGATAAGGGGAATATATATACGATGTGCGAGGGGCGCAGCTGCTCGGATCGCCCTGGCCACTCAAATCGACACGCTCTCCGACAAGCTGCATGAGCTGTGCTTGTAGACCAAGCATGTTGCGGTGAAGCACGTTCCTCAACCTCGTTTCGTGCCATGAGGGGCCTTGAGATATATATGTCGTGTGTAAATCTGGCGGTGAAACAATGTCTTCGCTGTAGTCGTTTGACATTGCCACACTTGCCGCCCCGTTGGTGCTCCCTCTTCGAGGCTTGAACTACCACGCCGATTGTCGTTTGTGCAAAAGTTTCCGTCTGATTGTTCATTTCACCGCTGGGTAAACTATCTATCCTAGTTACCAACGCAATCAGTTGGGTAGTTTAGCTGAGCTCAGCTGGACACATGCGGGGCGCCATATAATAGGAAAACTTCCGCTCTTTTCCTTCTGGGGACTTGCTACACCACACTTCTCAAAACCCACTATCCCCTGGGTCGTAGATAAGAACGACAACACCATCATGTCCAACCCTTTAGGTTTTGGGAACAGAAAGTTCTCCATCAATAGGAACACGGGCGTTCCTAGACCTGCCCGCCGTTTCTCCAATACCGAGCCTGGTATCAACGGTATGCAAACACCATTTGTCTTGCCCCCAAGTCTTGGCGACAGTTACTGATGCAGTCCAGAGGCCAGTTCTAAGATCCACAGGCAGTTTCGTGCTGCTCATGAGGGCCATCTTCCTCATGCCGGTCTGGATGCCACCAGGGCTTCTACCGGTGTTGTTTGGTGTACCGAGCGAGCAGCCGAGCATGGCTTCCTCGATGAGCCTGACAAATGGGCAAACCTAGGCCGTATGTAACCCCCTTCCTGTTCTTCTTGAAGCGTCACTAACAAACCCAACAGAGGGTGCCCCTGAAGTGGAAGATGACATTGAAGGCTGCTTCCCCCGGCCCAAGACCATTGACATCAGCCTCGGCAGCCGTGAATACGGCCCAACTGCCGGAATCAAGCCTCTCCGTGAAGCCGTAGCCAACCTCTACAACGCGATGCACCGCCAGGGCAAAACCAGCCAATACACCTGGGAGAACGTCGCCATCGTCCCCGGCGGCCGTGCTGGTCTCATTCGGATTGCCGCCGTTCTGAACAACGCCTACGTCGGCTTCTTCATCCCCGACTACACCGCTTACAACGAAATGCTCTCCCTCTTCAAGAACTTCGCCGCCATTCCCGTCCCCTTGTCCGAGGAAGACGGCTACCACATCCACCCCGACAAGATCGCCGAGGAGATCGCCCGCGGCACCTCCGTCATCATCACCTCCAACCCCCGCAACCCAACCGGCCTCGTCGTCGCCAACCCCGAGCTCGCCGAAATCCAAGACATCTGCCGTGAGCGCGCCACCCTCGTCAGCGACGAGTTCTACTCTGGGTACAACTACACCTCCAACTGCGACGGAACCTCCATCTCCGCCGCCGAGAACGTAATCGACGTCGACGAAGACGACGTGCTCATCATCGACGGCCTGACCAAGCGGTTCCGCCTCCCAGGCTGGCGTGTCGCTTGGATCCTCGGCCCAAAGGAGTTCATCAAAGCCATCGGCTCCTGCGGTTCCTACCTCGACGGCGGCACCAACGTCCCCTTCCAGGAGGCCGCCATCCCCATGCTCGAGCCGTCTCTCGTCAAGAAGGAGATGCAGGCTCTTCAGCAACACTTCAAGGAGAAGCGTGACTATGTCGTCGAGCGCCTCCGCGGGATGGGATTTACTATCCGCCACGTGCCTGATTCCACGTTCTACATCTGGCTGAACCTCGAGGGGCTGCCCGGCCCGATCTCGGACGGGCTGAACTTTTTCCAGGCGTGTCTCGAGGAGAAGGTGATTGTTGTTCCGGGGATCTTCTTTGACTTGAACCCGGCGAGGAGGAGGGATTTGTTTGACAGCCCGTGTCATCACTTTGTGCGGTTTTCGTACGGGCCCAAGATGGACGTGCTGAAGATGGGGTGTGATGGGATCGAGAGGGTGGTGAACAAGTTTAAGAAGTTGGTTAGCCACCCCAACTATAAGTAAGGGTTTGCAGACGGGGGGATGATGATGATACTGGGAGAAGCAAAACAGGGAAGAGGTTAGGATAACAAAGCAAACTGGGCCTTTAGGTAGAACACGGTCCTTAATTAGAGTCAAATAGACGGTCACTCTTTGTTGCCGCATATGGCCTGAAGATGATACACATCTCCCCCCTACCGTACATCCCTCCATTTATTATCTACAACTTCACCGCCGGCGTCCTAACCAACCACAACCCAATCCCCACCCCTATCGCCCCCGTAATCCCCGCCATCACCACCAACACCAATCCCAAAGCCCCCGCCCCTTTTGCATCCACCCCCTCCATCTCCTCGAACACACCCTCCAACTGCCTCGCCATTTCCGTCTCCGCAAAATTCTCCCTCACCCTCTTCTTCCCCTCCTCCCCCATCTCCCTCAGCTCCCCCTCCCCCATCCGCTCAACAACGCGCTCCATAACCTCCCTCCACAACTCGGGCTCCCCAGCCCTCAACCACCCCGTCCTCCCCTCAACAACAGTCTCCAACGGCCCCCCGCTATCCGCCGCCAAAACCGGCACCCCCCTCAGCATAGCCTCCAGCGGCACAATCCCAAAGTGCTCCTCCCTCGGCGTATAAACCAGCAACTTTGCACTCTTTAACAAAATCTCCTTCAGCGCATTCGGCACCGACAGCAGAAACAAGACATCCACATCCTCTATGCTCGAGTTCAGCGCGCTGACCACCGTTTTGACAGTGGCAGACTTCAACCCCAGTTTCTCGCACAGGCTGACTAGATCAGCATGGTAAGAGACGTTCTCGTGCACCCTCGCGTCATAACCCCCGGCAACGACAAGCTTTGATTTCTGTCGGGCGGGAGCGGGGAGGAGGGCGAACGCTTGGATGGCGAGGGCGATGTTTTTTTTGCGTTCGAAGCGGTTGATACTCAAAATGATCGACTTCTCCGACTGCCCCCATTTAATCGGTTGGGTTTCTTCGTCGGGGGAGGAGGAGGAGGGGAGGGAGGTGTTGATGCAGGGGTAGACTATTTTAAGCTGATCGGCTGGATAACCCGGCCAAGTCTTCGCAACGACCGACTTTGTGAAATTCGAGTTGACCGCCGTCGAGGTCGCAAAGCCCATGGACCATTGCTCCAGCGCATCAAACGGGATCCGATACAGTCTCTTGAACAGCGACGAGTTTCGGTTTTGGACGAGGAGCAAATCGGGGAAGTGGCAGTAGAAGAATATCGGTGTCTGTGGCCGCAAGAGGGAGAGGAGGGGTACGCCGGCGGAGAGCTGGTCGATGAAGAAGCCCGAAGGGTTCATCTTGGAGAGTTCCGAGGTGAAGAGAGTAATAGACAAGATGAGGTGGATCTGGCGGAGGATGGCGCAGAGGATGGAGAAGCGGCCGAGGATGGAAGGGGGGATGACGGTGTTGCCTCTTACGCGGACGTCGAGGGTTCCTGTTTACACATAACCATTATTAGCATCCTCTCAGTCCGGTAGATAGACGTAAGAGGAACGAACCATCCCTAGCCTCATCAAAACAATGCCCTGGGTCGCAATGGCTAGTAAAAATCACCACCTTGCACCCTCTCTTCTGCAGCCCAACCGCCGCATCGACAACCAACCTCTCGGCGCCGCCTATCCCGAGGTCTGGATGTAGAAAGACAATCGTTTTCTGCTTTTTCTCTCCCACTTTCCCATCCCCCGTTTCATCTTTCGTTCCCTTCGCCATAGCCGCCTGCTAGTCTTGCCGTTGACAATTCTCTTTTGCGACCACAAAAGTTGCGACAAGGCTGTCAATGAACCAGCGAGTCCCGCTGACGTCGCACAGCCAGCCAACTTACCCAGGTCCTCCCGGCAGGCAAATTGCACTTCCTGAAAGAACAAGCGGGGGGGTCGACGTTTAGCTAAGCTTTTCCTTCCTTGGCAAGGATCTTATCATTATCTCTGATAAGATGAAATAGATAACACCTTCCCCCTCCACAAGCCTCACCTCTTACCTTGTCGTTGTCAGTGTGACTGTCACATGCCACCATTTCTCACACCTGTTCGATCACGAGACTACCACTCTGTACGCATTTCCCAACCCCCAAAGTGGATATGGCAAAGGAAAGAGAGGGATCCAGAACACCTGCCTCAGGTCTCACCGCTCCCTCCCGTTCCCGCTAGCTATGTCCCGACCCCCATTCCCGAGTCCCCACTCCCGACGACCGAAAGCCTCTCACTCTCCCGGCCGGGCAGCCGGCTTCCGAATGTCACGCAACTAAAAACCGCCTTTTCTACAAGCTAACATCGCCACTCAGGCACCGTAAACCCATCCGGCTTCCTCTCCCGTCTCGCCCAGCAGCCCAGCCCAGCCTAGCCCAGCCAGCCGGTTTGCCTGATTGGGGCCCAACCCGCCCTTCAGTTTGTCGCACACTGTGCGAGACACCCTTCTCATGAGGAATAGTATGTGTAGCAGTCGTCTAACCCTAGCCCCATGCACGTAGGGGCTCCTCCTATGGAGCCAGCCAGCACATTGGGTCAGGGGGAGTCAGTCAGTCATCGTCAATCCTCTACTATGCCTCCGTTTCGGTCCGGGGTTCCTCCTACCGGTTACTATTCATGTGTTATTCCTGCCGCGTGTATCGCGGTAAAGACAGTAAGCAACACATGAATACGTGGCGTGCATATCACCATACCCATCATCAACAGCCAATAGTCAATCAAGAGCATGAAACCACAAAAGGCGTGAATTCAACATCCCCCAACCCATCTACCCATGATCCATACCCCTGTCCCCTTTCCAAATCCAATGCATGAATGAGTAAAACACCACCTCCAAAAAAGATAGAATCTAGTAACAAAACACCCAAAACAATCACAACTATGAATATCAATATTTATCTTCTTCTTTCAACAACAACAACAACAACAACATTATATAAAAATAATCTCGCCCCCCTTTCCCTTCACAGACCATACAGGGCAAGGGTTGTAAAAATGTACACTTGAATCGAAAAAAAAAGCCGAAAAAAAACCAGGTATTGTAACAAAACTGGGCGGGTTTCAGTAATCAAGGATAAAAACACTCTCAATATCTTGATTGATTCTGATCGTTGTGCTTGCCATTTTGTTTCTGCCCTTGAAAGAAGAGAAAGAAAAAAACGCCCAATGTGCAATTGTTGTTGTTTGTTGTAATTGTTGTTGTGTGCTTGTCCCACCACCCATTTGTGCTTGTCCATTTGTCCCCGATGCAAGAGAAAAAAAAAACCCTGCTATGATTGAAAACCAGAGAGAGCACCTCTCTCACTCATCCCCCAATCATCTGTGTGGCCCATCGTCCATCATCATCACCCATCCCTCTCATTCACTTCGTTCATCCCAATCAATGCAAACTCTCTCATCAAAGAAACTGCTTGTAAAACGCCCACACCCCCCATTTCCTTCCCAGAATAAGAAATTCTTTGCAAAAAAATGCTGGCAGTCTGTCTGCAACAGGTCTAGTAAAAACACCCACGGGGCCCCGTGTAAATGCCATGATTGAACAACGCGTAGACAAGAGAAAAAACAGATTCGAAAAAAGAAAAACTCGACCGCAATTTCCCTTGAAACAATCCATGTATCTTGCAACACGCCCGCTTGTAGTGACCGGCTCACTCGTCATCGACAATGATCTTCTTGGCAGTTTCGGTGCTGCCAATACTGGCGTTGGTGTCTCTCCGGCGGGTGGTTACGATTAACCGGCCCACCGACTGATTCTCCCGAGGCGGGTGGCGCTTCTTCGATTTGGCCATGACTAGTCCCTCATCACTGTCACTGTCATCATCGTGATCGTGGTCAGCGTGGTGATTCCGTGAAACTTGACGGCCTCGGCTGGTCTCCATGGCGCTGGCTGGACGGGCTCTCTCGTCTAGTCTGAGGTTAACGATATCCTTCCGGGTTTGGTCCTCGAGAGGGAATCCCAAGGCTGGCTCTTTCGAAAAGGCTGGCGGTGTGATTGTGTCGGTTGTGTCAATCACCGTGTGTCCACCAACAACCCCGGGGGTGCCGAGGAATTCGCCTTCCAGGTCGGCCGAAACAGAGCTGGTGCTGCTAAGAAGAGCCGGCAAGGAAGGATCCGACTGGAAGGCAAGCATGTGCTCTGTAACATCCTTGGCAGGCTGCGAGTTGATTCCATAGACTGGGCTCGCCGCCTCGCTGGGGCTTGTGAGAGGTGTCGTCAAGGCGCCAATCGAAGCCAAACTAGATGATTTCATAGTCACCACGGTCTCTCCTCGCGAAAGGGGCTCGGGGTGAAACACATCGTCCTCGGGCGATGGAGGACAAGGGATGAGGGCGGGGTCGACTTCGGCTATGGGAGGAGTAGGCTGGCGCAACGGGAACTGTGTCCTTGGAGACGGCTCCAACAGGGAAACCCGTCGCTGGCGTTGCTGCGGTGTCTTTACCTCGGGCAGGTCTTCCACACGGTGGGCCGTCTGCGGCCTCTCGTCAAGCTCTACGGCGCACCGCTGTCTCTGAATGTTTGGGTCCGACTTTGGCTGGGGATAGTGATAGCCTCCCAGCGCGCTCAGAATGGGAGACTGAGCAACACGTTCCCGGTCCAGGTCTCTGGCAACCTCAACCGAGCGGGAGGGGAGCGGCTTCTGTGTGAAAGTCGTGTTTCCTGGGGCCATAGCCGTGCTCAACGAGACCTTTGGTTCGGCGCGCTTATCGGTGCTAGCGAAAAGCCCCCGATCCACAGATCTTGCCCGGCCCAGATCGTCGGTAATGGGACGGATGTCCCGGGCTTTGCGCAAGGCGCTGCTGGGATCCTCGGTCGCAGGATCAAACAAGGGGGTTGGCGGCATTGTCCGTATCTCACCGGGCCCGGGAGTAAGGCTGAGGAAGGCGTTGTTGACAGATCGAGAGGGACCATGACGAGGTAGTGATCTGTAAGGTGAGGCCGAGGCCGACGCAAGCCACCGTTCATTGCGAGCACTGAGATTATTAGTCACGAGCTCGAGTACCTGGCGGGGCGTAGGTTCGCGATGCGGCTCCGTGGGGGGGCTGTTAAGCGGACTGGCCACCACGCTTTGCGTTAAGGGGTGCTCGCTCTGGGGCTGAGTCTGTGGCGTCGAGTTGGTGAAATAATCATCTGGACGAATGCTTTTGCGACGTCCTTCTCGCAGATGGGGTGTGATTGGGCTGTCGCCCGCAGAGCTTGCGGCGCTGCTCGTAGCCCGCCTGCGTGAAGAGACGCTCTCCGCTCGGTCTTGACGATGCATCACCTTTCCGACAGCCCTCTTGACAGCCGATCTGGCGCGCTCGAGCAACGTCAGGGGAACCACGGCACGAGCTACTTCCTTCTCGTCAACCTGAATTTTGCGTCCAGATGTGCGTCGAGACGGATCGGTATCATCGAGCCACGCCAGGATATTGGGAATGCCGTGAAGCACCCATGGATGCCGTTTCACATCACGAAGGCGAATTCTCTTCTCGGGATTCTTGGTGAGCATCTTCCTAAGCAAGTCGATAAGCTCCCGATCCACCTCCTCATATTGAAGTACATCGTCATCGCGGTATGGCGGTCTGTTGATTCTCGTATATAGCGATCTCTCATCGGGCTTGGTAGCTGGGTCAACTGGGGCGAGTCGCCGAGCGGGAATGTAGACCTCTTCCGTGGCAATCTTTCGGAACATTTGCCATTCGTCTTCGGCCAGGAATGGAATGCGAGCATAGATAAGGCAGTAGAGTGTGACACCCAGTGACCACACATCAATCTGCTCCGTCACCTTGGGCTGCGGAGCTCCCGGCTTGTCGTCATACGCATCTGTGTAGCAAAGCTCGGGCGCAAAGAAGGCGGGTGTGCCCACCGTCTTGGCAAGCTCGAGGTCGTCGTCAAAATCGTGGGCTTCGGACTCGGATACCGCATCGTCTGGTTCACCATCGCGGACAGGTCGGCCAAAGTATGAAACGCCGAAGTCGGAAATCTTGACACGGTGGTCCTTGGTCCACAGCAGATTCGCCGGCTTGATGTCTCGGTGCACGACACCCTCGTAGTGAAGATACTCCAAGCCTAGAACGGTGTCGCGGAAGGTGTTTCTCGCTTGCTCAATGGTGAAGCACGGTACGTAGGAATAATCGTCCACGTAGGGATCATGTACTCTGTTATAGTCAATCGAAGACATGTGCGAAATGATGGAATCGGCCATGCTCGGTGATCGCCCACGGAAGGCTGGATCGTCTGGATAGGCGCCATACATGGTCCCGTCGAGTGCCGTTGCTGACATGGGGTTGGAGCGGATCGCCCCCGGTGTCTCGAGATCGTCCTCGTTGCAAATCATCGACGCCGTTTCCAAGTCGAAGGGCTCGGGGGTTCCGGTGCGAGATGCTACGTTCAGACTAGCGAGTCTAGTTCCCGAAGGAGCTCGAGACGTCAATTTTGATCCACCAAAGGAGTCAGGGCTTGATGGCACGTGGCCAGCATAGCCTTCTGGCATGTCCTTGCCGAGTGATTGTGGGAAATATTCCATGTCGTCTTCGTCAACACCATACTCGAGGCTCCAGTAATCGGCTGGGTTGGCTTGTGATCGAGAGTGCTGTCTCGCCCGCTTCGCATTCTTCAACGCCTGACGTTGTTCCAAGATGTGTTCGTAATGCTCCTCCTCAGGCGTGGGTTTCTCGCCGCGCTGCTCTCGCTCGACGCGCCGGCGCTCGAATGCGCAGATATGCGGTAGACCCTTCTTCCTCCATACGACCTCGCCGAGTTCGACGTGCTCCAAGACCATGTAAATCTTCTTCAGTACGGGATCGTCAATGATTTCGAGCAGGGCGACAACATTCGGGTGCCGAATCTTTTTGAGGATGGCGATTTCCTTCTTGCTCTTGTCCTGAGTCGACATGGCGGTGACCTTTCCTAGCCGCCTCTTCTTGGAAAAGCGTGGGATGATCTTGATGGCGACATAGTCCTGTGTCTCGATGTTCCTCGCCAGCTTGACCTTGCCGTGCATGCCACGGCCAAGCTCCTCAATGATTTCGTAGTTGTTGACATACTTTCGGCCCGTTGTTTCATCGTGTTCGACATTCGCCTTGTGGGTTCTAGAAGTGGATTGGTGTCAGTAGCTTGCCGAGGGTGGTTCGGCAGAAGGGGAGGGAGTCATTGGAGTGACTCCGGCCCGGCCAGCGAAGCATTACGGAGGAGGATCGGATGACAACTCACTCTCGAACTTTATGGGACTGCAGCGGGTGCAGATAGGGGCTATTCAGACCGCCCGGTGGTGTGCTCTCGGAGCCGACCTGAGACTGCGGGAGCGACATGTTGGGGCGGGGCTGATTTGGACTGAAGAGTCCCGGCGACGATACGGGAGTGCTACTGGCAGTCCGGTGTGGGATGTTCGGCGGCAGGGGATGGAATAAGTTGTGAAGTTGGGGATACGACGGGCGGTGATGGGGACGGTGTGGCTGCTGAGGTTCCATGGCGGGAAACTGGCTGGACGTCACTCTTCGGGGGAACCTTCATGCTGAACAGCGGTGTCAGACGGGACGAGTGGATCGCTATGGCGGCGGACGGGCAATTGGCTTTTGCAATTAAGCAGCCATGGTGGGTGGCAGGGAACGGGGCGACGGACGGGGGGAACGGGGGGATGGGTGGAGGGAGCGGGCAGTGGCCAAAGCCTAAAATGACAAGAACAACAAACAAGAAGAAGAGTTGAAGAATTGAGGTCGTCGACCGGTGCGAACTGGGGGAGCGAGTAACGAAGAGGCGGGATGGAGGACCGAGGATGGAGAGATGGATGCGGTGGTGAAAGAAAAGGTGGGTAGGGTGGGCTGGGTGGTGTCGCACGGTGGGGAGAGGCAAAACGCAGAGCGCACCTTGCACCACACAGAATTTGGCGGGCGGGCGCTGGGTCGGCACAGGCAGAGCAGGGGAGAGTGGCAGGGGATGGTTATGCTGCACAGTGCATCCGCCTACTTTTGGACACCGTCTGCAGCGCTGCGGCGTCGGCCAGCCTTGAAGTCTTTGGACAAGAAGTCTCCAAGTCTCCGGGCCTCGCTCCCCTCAGTCGGATGGTGGATGATGTAGGTAGTCCCTTGGTAGTAGAAAGGAACTTGCGGCTCGTCCCAACAAAAGCTCAAGTCTGCTTCTCCAACACGCGATTCCGCCCAGAGTCGGTCGACCGTCATCCAATGTTGGAGGACGCCGATGGGGAGTCAAAGAGAGGCAGGTTATCGGATTCCTGCACCGACATCTCGCCGATCGACGGCACAGAGGAGTGACTGAAGCCGGGAAGCGAGAAGCGTGGTTCCAGGTTGCCGCAAAGCGGAGCACTGATGGATGAAGTGTGTGTAAAGGGGGAAAGACTTCACGGAGCAACACGCGGGCCAAAGCACAGCATTTTGTATGTTCTCCTGAGTGTAACTACGACGATCTGATAACAGACTAAAGTGATCACCGACCCCTTGTGAGACAGACACTCACACACTGACTGACTGACGGGACTGTGAGTTGGAGAGAGTGACACTGGTGAGAAGAGAAGAAGCATCTGTGGTCCGACTCAACGCCTCGTGCAGGGGGCTGGTGGGCTGCTATTGGGCAAGATCTTGACGTAGCAGCCAAATCGCCAAGCCTGCAATGGTGGAGTCGTTCAAGACAATCGTGGCAGCAAAAAGAGGGGCCTCTTATCGCAGTTGTCTGCCCGATGATTGGTGGGACCTGCTCCTAAGACAGGGAAAAGCAAAACGTTGTTGCTTTCTGAGGCCATCGTTGCACGGCTTTCTTCTTTTCCTGATGCCGGACGGCTCTGTCCGCTCTGGGACTGGGACTGGGGGACTGGGGCATCGACAAGGCAGGGCAGGGACGGGGATGGGTGGTCGAGCAGGAAATGTGCCCCTGATTGATTCTCTTGGATGTAGATATCGCTGACTGCACAATACGTGGCCCTCTACGGAGCGTTCGGGGTAGGTTGGGTGAGTACCTCTCGTCGCCAGTGGCGACTATGACAGCGCGATAGTGTCAGTTCGAGCACATTCATCACTTGTTCAGTCCAGGCGTCACTTCATTTTTTGGACGTGTGGCCCATGCTGCGGCATCATCCAAGAGGGCGGGGTTGTTCTTGTCTGACATGGTAGAAAAACTTTATATTTTCAATGACGCTGGCACTTGATAATCCCGAAGCGCGAATATTCTCTCGAAAACACAATGCCACTCTAATCTACCTATCAGAAGCATTGGCTCCCAGGTACCATTGACTCAGGAGTAAATCCACCCGAGTGCTGCACAGTAGGAACACTCGCGTTGATGAGTGCCGGCCATTGTGGATTAGAGTTTAGACTACATTATTGTAAAATTATAGCTCACGAACCCATGTGTAAGTGTGAGTGCCTCCCGACCTCCGACTTTGCACTCCCACTCTCTCTTTCTCTCTCCCGCCGTCTCTTTTCTCTTCTGAACGTCTGGCCTTCTTGTGGTACGTTATAAGTGTAGCCAACTTCGGATTGCCTAAAGCGGCGTGAGGAGCGGAACTGCAGCTTCTCTCGTGTCTCACCCTTGCCGCTTCTCCAAATTCCGACGGACGGGCCTTGTCTTGTCTTTGTCTTGTTTCTCTACTAGTCTGTCTGCAGCTTCAGGCCCTTCTCTCTGAATGAAATTGGCGACGATGCGATGCCACCCAAATTCTCTTCACTATCGTCATCTCGCCTAGGCAGGGAAAAGGACTGCTGCTTCCAGGCTAAGAACGTGCTACCATGACGCTTCTCGGATGGCCAACTCAGGAAAGGATGAAAAAAGTGAAGCAGTCCTGGTGCAGGTCCAGACCCGGCTGCGTCTCTGGGCATCTGCTGCAGAGCTGAGTGGCTGGAATCTCCCCGGCGGTTGCTCTGTTGCTGCCCAAGGACACCACGCCTAGCTTCTTTCTGTTCTCTCTCACAACCCCCGCATATGTCAAGCTTACCTCTAGAAAGTCCAGTCCAGCCAGGCTGACCATGTGATCCGGAGCACAGATTCATCAACGCAATCCTCGTCAACGAGGGCAGCATGCCGCGAAAATCCGACGGCGTGGTCCAGGGTGAAAGCCATCCGTCGAGACATCATGCCCTCTGGGCCTATCAGCGGCCCTATCTGGGGGTGACGAGAGCGGCGTCAGGGAAACGCACAACCGTGCACGCCATCACCATCCCTTGCGGCCAGGTGGATCGCCGCTTTACCCCGGAATTGCCCTTCTGGCCCCATCATCGCCAAGAACCAACGCTAGACAGAGGCCGTTCAAGGTTGCACAAGCTTCACAGGCCTCACATCCTTGGTCTCCCAACAACCTGCTCAGTAAAGACATCAGCTCAACGGCAGGTCATGAAGTTGTGGTAGGCATCTCTTATCGATGTTGCGAACCACCTCAGCAGCGCTCGGCGCCTTGCTCTCGCATCAGATCATACTAATGATGGTGTTCAGGACATCTCTGGCCCCTTTGAAGTCCAGCCAGGCTGGCCAATCATGGCACTGGCTGACATGCATAGAAACACTGAGTGTGGTCTCACAGGCCAAGCGTTGACATAAAAAAAAAAGTGACAGGTCGATTCTGGTGTTCCGACTTTCTCCTTGACGACGGACGAACGCCGGGACCACGAGTTCCGCCTCGTTCTAGCAAGCCTTCGAGTGAAACGGGTACAAACATTTCACCAACATGGAGCCCGTCATATTCCCGGTCCCCAAGGGCCCTTTTCCTCGTTATACCAGGTCCTTCAGCAATCTTGGGCCGTGTTTTGCCTTGAATGTCCCAAGACGGATACCTGCTTAGCCGCCACTGGATGCCCGGCAGGCGAGCGGTTCAAGAAATATTGGCCGTGCATTTTTCCTGCCCTTCAGCTGGGCTCTCAACTTGGCCTTCAAAGTTGATGGCCATCAGTTAAAAAAAGCCGCCAATATGGCCTGACTTTCTTTGCAACACACCACCAGGAGTAACGCCGATTTGATGGTGGCACTGGGAGGATCTTGGCTTTGAGCCGTTTCCCAAACAAGAACTCCGTCACGTCCATCCATCAAGTGATTGGTGATTTGCGTCGTCTGCCCCATAGCGATGTAACCCCCCGAAGCAGTCGCCTGTGCGCACCAAGACAGATTCCAAGGCGATAACCCATCGCCAGTTTGATCTCCAAACCTTGATTGGTTTGTCTGTCTGAAGTCCAATATCAACCGTCGAAGAATGGCATGGCATCATCCTCATCCAAGTGATGAGTTGAGGTGGTGTCTGATGCGGAGGGTTGCAAATACCTGCCTTCTGCACGTCATCCGCAAATTGCGATATCTTGCTCCACTGCGCCACGGGCTTGCATGGGCAGAATCTCATGTGCAAGACGCCGTGATGGTATTCACGCTTGAGAGGCCAAATAAACTTCACACCATCATCTCAACGGTTGTGACCGACTCAGACAAGCATGTGATGGACTCAGGGGCCGCCGCGAGGCTCGCATTGACCACCGGTTCTTTTCGTATCTTATCACACTGATGTCTCGGTGAGACAGTTACCATCGGCGATATTTTTCTGCGGCATCACCTACGAAGGGAACCCGGTTCTATCACAGCAAAAAATATCACAGACAAAAGAACGCTTTCTGGCAGGTCTTTGGGGACGGTCCTTCGCTTCTCATTCCTTCGCTCCTTCCAGCACCGAGGAGCTGGGAAGGCGGGAAGGAAGCCACAGCTTTTCCTATTCAGGTTGTCCTGTTTTATTCCTTACGTTTTCGATGGTTCTTTGGGACTTTGGTTCGTCACAGCAGCAGGATCTCTAGCGTGGAATGCAGGTGAGTGGTCGTCTGGTCGGGATTCTCATTTCCCGCGTTTACCATTGACGGAGGTTCCTTGGATTGACCTATTGACTTTCTCTGATATATCATGACGCTATCCCGGACGTGGTGTTGGGGTGCTGTATCGTACCGTTCTACAAGGGCGCAGGTTAAGAGAAACAATCTATATCTAGGGATATTATCGTGATCTTATTGTCTCAGAGTCTAACATCCCAGTGGGTTGTTTCCTTAGCACTGGTGCTATTATCTACCCATCATGGTCCGATCCAGAGTCATAGCCTTTAGTAGCTCACCTCTGAACCATGGACCGTGCCCCAGACTAGAGGAGCACCCTCTTCCGAACTCTTTCACATCAAACATCGATCAAAACGTCATCCCGTCAAGCCACGCTATTTTACCAATAGCATGGTATCCTTCATCACAAACATTAGTTCTCCGAAATGCGGGGAAATGCATTCCTTTGTCCATGTAAATGGTCTGGTGATCGACACAACCCCCTTTCAGGTTTTCTTATGAGAATCTTGGAGACGGTTCCAGCCCGTGCATGGACAGGTTGTTGTATCTCCGAGTCTTCTCCGGGAAAACGACAAAGTCGATGCAAGGCTACCAACAATTGTTTCCTGCTTGCTTTGACTAAAGACACGGCCGATGATAGGGCAGATCGAAAAGATCTTTCACAC